ATTGCGGTAAGCGGGCTGTAGTTTGAAGTTGCCAGGGCTTGTTATAAGATCGGCGAGTAATGGCCGGGCGCTGGCATAATCCTTACGGGTCAGGTACACCCTGGCCAGCATTGCCTTTGCAGCATGCGTCGTCACGCGGGACGATTCATTGGCGGCCCAGGAGACAGGTAGTAAGCCGGCCGCATCTTTCAGGTCACTGATGATCTGCTCATAGGTCACTGCCGCCGGCGCCTGGGTAATGGCAATCGAATCGTTATACGCTATAGAGGTGGTCACCAGGGGTACCGATCCCCAAAGCCGCACCAGGTTAAAGTACATATGCGCACGGAGAAACTTTGCCTCGCCTTCAAAGTGCCTTTTGCTGACGCTGTCCGTTACATTATCCAGATACTTCAGCACTGTATTGGTTTGGCGGATCACAAAGTAGCTTTCCGTCCAATACTTGCCCAGGTAAGAATTAGTGGAGCGTTCGCTGAATCCATCGATCTGGTTATGGTCGCCTTCTGCTTCAGAGACATAGGTATCATCTGAGCGCAGATCGACAACAATATAGTTATCATTATACAGGGGCAGCAGGGCGCTGTAACAGCCGATCACCGCCGTTTTCAGCTCTGCGGTATTGCGATAGTAGTTTACTTCTGCAAGCGTAGACACAGGTGCCTGGTCCAGGAACTTATTACAGCCGCCCAGCATCAAAGCCATTCCTACAGCCACGCTGCCGATCACTCTGTTCTTATTCATAGCCCGGATTTTTTATGATTAGAAATTAGTGTTGATGCCAAAGGTTATGGTCCGTGCTATGGGAATTGCCCCGCGCTGATAACCCTTCCGCAGCGGATCATTGGTATAGGTATTGTTAGCCTCCGGGTTGAGGCTGGTATAGTTATCCGCAAATAAGTACAGGAGATTGGCTGCTGATAAGTAGCACCTTAAACCCGTCATCCCTATTTTTTTAGCTGCCTTCCCGGAAAAGCTATAACCAAGGTTTACATTACGCAGGGCCACAAATGAAGCATCCTGGATCTCCAGATTGGTTTCCGTTTTCAGCCGTACCGATTGCTGCATCTCCAACGGGTAATTCTGGTAGGCAGTTGCTCCCGTAGTACCGTATTGGGTTTCGTAATAGTAAGGGTCAATATTAAATATCTTTGCGCCGTGTGATCCTTGCAGCGTAATGCTCAGGTCAAAATTCTTATAACCTATATTGGTGGTAAAGCCCCAGTTCACTTTCGGATAGGGATTCCCTAAAACAATACGGTCGTTATCGTCAATCTTTCCGTCACCATTTACATCACGGACAAAAACATGTAATGCAGTCACGCCCTGTGGCCAATAGTTAGTGCCTTGCATGCTGATCACGCTATCCACCACATAACCATAAAACTGGGTCAGCGGCTGACCTGCCTGGGTAATAAAATAATTG